CTTTGTTTGGCTTTCAAATAAAAATCAAAAAATCATTAATTAAATCGTAAGTCACCCTCCTGGACAACGAGATTCTTCTCCCTCTGCATTTCAGCTTTTCAGCCTTTTTTTTTTGCTGTCGGTTGATGTTGACATTTATAATACATCATCCTTGATCGAGCTCATAAATAATTGGGCAATCAGGGCTGCGTGGAAAAACGCTGGCCGGGGAGATGTTGCTGTCAATCAGCAATGAAATATTCATTTCTTTGCGATATTATTATTTGATTTGACGGCCAGAGTGCTTTATTAGTTTTGGCGTGTGCTGATGGTGTTATTTGAGGAGTAAATAGTTATGAAAGTGCCTGGAAAATATTTTACAGAGCTTAAAGTATTTTCAAAAGGGTTTTTTTCTAACTATGATGATTGTAAATGCTCTTAAGTCTCAAAGTACAGATGGTAATCCTATTTGACATTCTGAGAAACCGATTTTAAATCAAAGTTAAACGAAGTTCCAAATGCCGTTTTAAATATGCAGTGACATCTGTTGAGCTGACATGGCAGCATCGCAGCCCAGGAGGAAATAGTTTACACATTCATTGTGATCTCATTGCGGGGAAATTGTTCCGGGAAAACCTTGCTCCCAATCGGCTTTTCCCCGGCTTCCCTGCATCCCCGCTCCAATTGCGGTGGCGAATCGGGCCAAGAGCCGTGGAAAACCGGGCCGAGATGGCTGCAATCCGCGGCTTAAAAGGGAATCGCTGCCGGACAGAAATGGCCAAGGCAAATTGCAAAACTTTGTCCGCCAGCTTTGAATGCCATTAAGTGTCGCAGCCGCAGAGCAACAGCCATGCACCCACACATGCCACACCCACACCCACGGCCACTCCAAACAGCCACCCTAAGCCGCCCTGGGCCACCCTAAAACAACCAACAAACCGAGTGAAAAATGTTGTGACGCTGACATAATGGCAAAATCAGGCACGCACACAAAGGCAACCGCGAGGTTTATGCCTCGCAAGGAACAAGCAGGCGAGCACTGCAAGGATTAAGCGCCTCCGCAGAGGTCCTGGCCATATGTCCATTAGGGTGGACCTTAGTTGGGGCACAAAAAGGTTGTATGTTTGCAGATTGCATATTAGTTTTATGCAAATATTCAAATAAAATGTAAATATGCATTTGATTTTAAACTATGTTTTTGATAAGGCAAACTTTGGAGTCCAGAATCGATCTCTTTTTCCTTCAAAAATAAGCAAAATCCGAGGTCTATGAATAACCATAAAATAATGATGTTATCAATATGATATTTCTCAAGAGTTTCTTTGATTTTCATATATTATCTTTAAATTTTTGACTTTTTAATCGTTACTTTAAAGATTAGTATATCCTGTTTCGATTAATACATATTTTGATCTTAGTTACTAGGTAAACCTTGAAAAATATTTAAAAACCATTTCTTTTGAGGATTGCTTTTGTTAGGTTGATAAAAATAATGCATAGAGGATTAAAGCTCTGCTTTATCATTTAAAGATATATTACTTTTTAATTCTTGAACAAAGTAAAAACTGTAAGTAATACATAGTGTGTGGATTGTGTAGAACATGGCAATGAAAACATATACTCTATAGATCTAAACAATTTTAGTTGACAGCTTTAAAGCTTACAAACGCTCTTAGTGTTGTCCTAAAAATAGAGTGCCCAATAAATATTTAAGCTAGCTTCCACTTGCAAAAACACTGACCTGGATAACGTGTCGTATGGGTAATAATATTCTCACCGCCCTAAAGTTATAATTTGTTGTTTTTAATCATAATAAATATAAATGCGATTTGCAGATTGCCCTTTGCATACGTAATATTTGCAAATGCCTTCGAGCCTTTTTAGGGCCACACGAAAAGTTATACTCTAGACAATTTTTAAACACTTGGGTAATCAAGTTAGAGTTTCGGCCAATTTTAGTTGCGAGGTAGAGGTCCAACCTGATGCACTCCCTTAAACGTTGAGGTGGGTCCTTTGCCACCATTTTTGCAACCACCCACAGTCAAATGCAGAGCGTAACGAGATAGCCGTTAGGACCACGCCCCCACCTATATAGTACCGCCCATCTCCTCCAGTGTGTATATCCTTTTTTTTTCTCTGTTTCAGTCACGGCAACTGTTGACACTACAAAGTAGCAAGCGTTGCTGTTGTTGTTCCTGTTGATGATGTCCTTGTTGCAGTCGTAAAAAGAGCTTCATGTGTGTGTGTGTGTGTGTATCACATAAATATGCATTTTCCATTTTCCAACGGTAGCGGCAGCGGCAGCAGCCATCGAGCCATCGCATGCGAATATTTTTATACATATTCATTGGCTTGGCCATGTCCATATCAATGTGGGTTAGTGTGCTTTTCTCCCGCTTTCCCAACCGATTTTCCTCCACTTCGACAGCGCTTTTCCCCCATTTTCCCGCTCCCGTCGTCTGGCACCTGCGACATGCAACTCCAGCCGGGAATGGCGTGCCTGCCGCATTTGCATTTGCCAGCTGAGGGGCACCTCCCCGACATTACCATTACCATTTCCACTATAACCCAGTCAAAGTCCCTTTCCCAGTCTCCAGACTTTCCACCGTAGTGTCAATAAAAAGCAACAGCAACTGATTTCCACTCGCGCCCTTTTCCTTCGGCCAGGTGAGGACCAGGTGGGCCGAATCTGTGTCTGCTGCAAGCTATTTCGGGATCTAATCAATGCTTGTTCGAAAGTATCTTACAGATTTGGGGTTATTTACTTTATACATTTCATTAACAATAATGATATTTACATTTTACACACTTTTTTCACAATTAAAAGGGTATTTTGGTTGGGGTTCTTAAAAGAGTCAACCATTTAGTCTTCTTAAGGACTAGAAAAGTTATAGATAAATATTTATTTATTTAGTTATTAAGTCTTCTGAGGGACTTAACAAAATTTAAATTATTTAAACGATATAGATGTTTAATATATTAATACTGGGTTTATAAATTAAAATATTTTTATTTTTGATAGCCCAAACTCTGAGAAGTATAAAATATTTTAAAACTACTACTACATTATCGCCTACATAATATCATAGTAGGCGTTATGGACTGATCTCCTTTTAAAAAATATACAAATTCATTTTCAAAAAAACTACCAGTCGGAAGCATTTCAATCGTCACTAATAAAATCACCTGAAAATAATGTGAATGTATATGAAAAAATCAAGAGAAAACATGCCAAATGGCAAGCAAGTAAATAGTAAAACAACCAGTCGGATTTAATGGTATAGTAAAGGGCAGTACAGATGGGCGGAGATTCGCCTGCAGGTCGATGCCAGCTACACATACGATGCCGTGTCCGTGTCCGTATTGTTGTCCGTATGCCCGCCTGTCCGTATGCCTTCCTGTCCGTATCTCTGCCTGTCCGTATGTCTGCGCATCCATGTCCGTGTCTATGTCCCTGCCATGCGATGCCAGCGCGTGGTTTACACATGTTACCTGCTTACATGCCCGAGGACTCGAATTCGAATCCAAACCCGTACTCGTACTCGCACTGCCTGCAACAAATTCAGCAATAACAACCGCCATTAGTCGAACTGCCAAACGAAAGTGATGGGAATTATCTGGGTATACAGCTAGGTACTCGCTTTGAGTCCTCCACCTAGCTTATATGGAATTAAATTCAGAACCTAAGATATTTGAGTTGCGAAGTGCCAAAAGCTAATATGATTTGGGAGTACATTTATATTTAAACCTGAGATCCTTATTTCTCAATCATTTTAAGAATATAATTTGAAATATTTCAATGGTTTACCTGAAGCTTTAAATCTGTATGGGTAGCAATATGAATTTGAATTTATCATTGATATATTTCTTTGAATAACTTTCTAAAAATGATAAGTTAAATTAAGTACTTAACCTCAGTACCTTATTGGTACACTAGACGACATGAATACTTATATGTACATTCGTACCTCTCTTCCATCTCTGACAACTTACTAGACTAATTCGCCAAAGTGAGTGGGTGGCTTGCAGTCAATAAAACGATTTTGATTATGAATGACAACATTTGAAATGTTCCAATTACGCTCAAATATTTTGATAAACTTCCACGCCAAGAGCCCAATGGACTGACTCACTGGCTGACTGACAGCGACAAATTTGTCGTTGGCCATTTTCCGAGGAAGTAGTGAAATGGTAAAGGTAACTGGAAAATAAATAGCTGTCCTTTAGAAAGGTGATTTCTTTTATGGCAAAACTTTGATTGCGGCGTAAGTGAGTAAATACATTTACAGAGAGTGGTGATGGGAATAAGAATTTCAGTGCTGGGATGGGAGGTTTTTAAAATGTGATGGGATTTATAATATATAATATATTTGTTCCTAAATAAGGCATATACTGTCTTTCAACTGATGAAATGTTGGAATAACTAATCCATATACTGTCTATTTACTGATGGAATGTTGGGATAAAATGTTTTTTATATATTATGATATATTTGTTCCTAAACAATCCATATACTATCTTTTAATTGATGGAATGTTGGGCTAAGATGTTTTTAGATGTTATAATATATATCTTTCCAAATAACTGAAATAACTGATGGAATGTTGGGTTAAGATGTTTTTTATATGTTATAATATATTTGTTCCTAAATAATCCATACCTTGTAACTGATGGAATGTTGGGATAAGATGTTTTTATGATATATAATCCATATATTCAAAATCCATAATCCTAAATAATCCATTTATTGTCTTTTAACTGATACAATTTTAAGATAAGATGTTTTTTATAATATATAATATACTTGCTCCTAAATAATCCATATACTGTGTATTGTCTTTTAACTGATGGAATGTTGGTTTTTATATGTTATAATTTATTTGATCCTAAATAATCCATATATTGCCATTTAATTGATGAAGTGTTGGGATAGGATGTTTTTTATATGTTATAATATATTTGATCTTAAATAATCCATATATTACCTATTTTCTGATGGAATTTCCTTTGGTCTCTTTCAGCGGACAGCTCGTTTCTTTTGGCCAACGCACAAATCGTCGATTTCCCGATCGTCTACTGCAATGAGTCCTTCTGCAAGATCAGCGGCTACAACCGGGCCGAGGTCATGCAGAAGTCGTGCAGGTATGTGTACGTATTGCCGATTTATTCTCACTTCAACTACTTTCGCTCTCTTCTCGCTGTTGTTGGTGTTCTCTGCGTTATAATTGCCGCTTTAATTGTTAATCCCCAGCGATTATTAATATGTATTTATTGGTGTCCTTGATGTCGTGGCTTTACTTGCCGATAAGTCCGGCCAAGATGTTGATTTATTGCCCTCGATGTTGTGGTCAATTTTTTACTTTTATTGTATGTATGAAACGAGAGGTGTACGTTGTTTATGCATACAATTATTATTATCTTTTATTTCTTTCGGTGGAATTAGGATGAAACTATATTAGATTTTATCTTGCCATCCTAACCTTTTAGTTTGGAAAGTGTCTAATATCCTTTTTTAAATTTTACAGCTAATTTTTATGCAAACATTTAATAATATCCTCTTTTTCATTTGGTTGAGTAAGGACAAATCAATGTTATATTTTCCTTTATAATCCTTACCTTTTACTTCTTGAAAGTGTTTATTAGCCTTAACATTTTTACAGCTAAGAAACTTGAGATTTTCCCCTTATTAAATAGGTTTATACTACCCCACTTTCTCCACCTTTCCTTGCACTTATCTTTGTGTTTTCCATCATCACTTTCACTTTCCTCAGTTTGACTTTTAACCACGTTAAAGTTGCATGCTCATTTCTTAGGAAAATATTAGCTTTTGAGCAGTGCTGCTCAAACTGTAAGCTGCACAGGTGATGCAGGTGGAAATGGGAGTGCAGGGCTAGGGGGGGGGGGGAGAGAGGGTTCAGACAGACAGTCCGGAGACTTTGGACATTTCCCTTTGGGAGCCCTGACAGCTAAGCGGATTGCCCGAGATTGCAGGAGATTTCTTGCCTGTCTCGTCCCTTCGCTCCGACCATTAACAGCTTGTTCACGCACCTGACCAGCCTTACCTGGAAAAGCGAACCCCTCCCCCCCCCCCCTGGTTTTCTACCATTTTCCACCGTGTTTATCTGCTTAACGGCTTATCCGCAGCTGCTTACACCGGCCATTGAATGTGAAGTTCATTTATTGTTCCAGCTTTTTTTGCTCCGCTTGTAGTTTTTTTCAATTAATTTTCGTACTTAATTTTTTTCCGCTTTTTTTGCATTTTTGCCGGCCATTAAAAAACCATTGTCGAACTTAATGCACTTTGCTGCTCAGCGAACTTAATGCAAATGGACAGAAGGCTCTTCCGTTTTTCCATCTTGCGTAATGAGAAGGAAAGGCCACAAAGTATGCAGCACATAAAGGGGAAATATGATAGAGATGCAAACGTGAAAAAACCCAGGGTTTCATATTTAAAATAAATGTTTTTACAATTCATTGATTAATAGAAAAAACGATTTCTCTGATTTGTTTAAGAAATAATAGACTGTAAAAAATATAAAAGAAACAATTAAATCCATTTTATTTGTGTGAGTAATATGCACGGCACAGCCGACCATTTTTCTACACTGTTTGTGTGGCGGCAGAGAACGAGCAGAACAATTCCGCCGACTGGTGATTGTTTAAATCAACCACACTTTAAAACCACTTTGTCGCAAGAAAATATGATAATATTTAATACAATAATAACGTAAAAGGTATTAGTGTTACATCATGGTACTAGTCATAGTTTTATACGGTCATATACTACTTAATAATACAGAACCAACGAACAAATTTTAAAAATATATCACGTTTGCACCTCTAATACACATAATGAATATTAATATCGACATACCGCGAGGATAATTGCCCGAAAATGTTAAGGCAGATTAATCCCCCTGGGAAGTTGGTTTAATTTTTCCGCTGGAAATTGGTCTATTTTCCCCCCTAACCAGTTTTTCTTTTGTGCCTACCGTTTTGCTTTTCCATTTCCCGTTACTCTGTTGCAAATTGCCTGCCGGTGGTCCTGGCCAAACAAATTTTCTATGCAAACCTTTGGTGAATTGATGTGATGGGTAGTGTAAGAGAGATAGAGACGGATGGAGAGTGGGTGAACGAGATGGATAGAAAAAAAAGAAGAGAGAGAGGGAGATACCATCTGCACAAGTGTTAACTGCATTTGTTTGCCTTAACTCGGCCAGGACTTTCGATGGTCGTGAACTCGGTCCCTCAACCTTTTTTACTGAAATTCTTTTTCATTTTCCCTCTCTCTGTCACCCTCGCTCTACCCATCTCTTTCGCCCACCAGTCTCATAAATCAACAAGCGGCGGCCCAGAGGCCAGCGTATCCAATGATTCTCCCGAGAATCGCTTGTAATTTGCGGGCCAAAAAAGCAGCCCTAAAAAGAATAGGGATACGGTTCGGCAACTCACCTGCAGCATCAGCGGCAAAATTCCCCAGGTGGAAAAAATACAAGTTTTTAATGCCAATCTGCCGTTTAGCCAGCGATGCGCCGTCCCTTTTCCTCCTCTACCTCCACCTGCATGCATGCCATCGCCATCGCCATCTCTCTCTGGGCCCATCCAGCCGTCCCTCTCCCTCCGCCGTTTTGTTGTTGCTGTGACCCACTTTTGTTGTTGTCCTTCTCTTTGTTTGTTTCTGTGTTTCTGGTCGCGTGTGAACCAAAAAAAGAAAGGGAAACAAGAAGAATGACGGCCAAAGGCAAAAAGAAAACATTGACCAGCCGAAAAAATATGAAAAAAGAAAGGAAAACGGAAGAGAGAATGCAAAAAAGCCAAGGAAACGTTTGATTTTCGCTCGACTTTCGCTTCAGTGCAATTTCTTTTGTTGAAACGCAAATCGCATTTCGAATCTCCCAAGTTTCAGGTACAGGGTACCGTAAAAAAATCTTAAAGAGAATCTTTAAAGATCTGTTGATGATATGCTACAGATCAAAGCCTTTTTTTAAACAAAATTTAATGGCGCCCAACGTGGGGCCAATAAACTTGTAGCCGCCTGGCATCTTGAACATAAATTTACCCACTACCTATTGAACTTAATCAAAGAACAAATTCTTCAGTTCGCATTATGCAATTTCTAATGTCCTTTTACTTACATAAAAAGTGAATTTAAAACTCTTAACTATCAGAAATTCAGTAAAATAACGTATACGACGAGGTGTACAACCTCATACATAGTGCTTTAGAATAGAACTGCCAATTTAACTTATTCTAAACTTTAAAATGAAATCATACTAAAAAGACTTTCAAAGGGTAAAACATGTTCTAAAGTCTCTTTTAAGGTGCACTTCTTTTTTTCAAAGATATATTTTACTTTGAAAATCCGATAGAGGTATAAATCCCCTTCAAAAGTGTTTGGAAATCTCCATACTGCATTTTTAGCTTTTAAAGCCCTTTCCTAGTGGTTCTCCAATATATGCTAGATTGAATTAGGGATTTTCTTAGAGTGCTTTTTCTTGGGCTCCCTAAAAAATAATAGAATTTTGAGTGCTTCTCGAGGGCTTTCACTGTGCTCCACCCATGAGCACATAAACACTTTGTGCATCCATATCTATATCTACATGTATCTATGGCCATATCCCCGAATCCAGGACCTGTTTCTTGTTTGCTTTGTAACCCAATTTCGTTTTTTGCCTCTGTGTGTGTGTGAACACAAAACACACACACACAAAACACACTCGTACACCCATACTACCAAATGCGACCCGTGACGTCGCCGTTTCGGTGGGGCATACATAGTTTGTTGAACTTTTGTTCGGGGCACGAATAAAGCAAAACAACAGAAATTAACTACTGCTTTCCCTGCCACCCCCCCCCTTTCACCACCCCCTTCACCCACTTCTCCTTCGTTTGCGTTCTCGTTTTCCTTCGTTTCACTGCTGACGTCATCGAGCCTGGCCTAAAAGTATGCAACACTTTTTGTGCGGCACTGCAAGTGGTTCCCTCGTCCCGATTTCAGTTGACTTTTCCAAGTAAATATATTATAAGCAGAGGCACCAAAAGTTTAGGCCCCTTTTTAACCCAGAAACTCGATCATTTATTATTTAGTTTTCAATGGGAAATGAACGAAAAATAATAAATTTAACAAAGTTAACCAAGCAATATGCATAAGGAAAGCCCCCCCAGGCTTATTGTGTTTCAACTTTTGGTTGGTAAGGGCTTTCGCCCATATGGTGGGAATATCAAATTACCGAAAACAGTTTTTGATTTCAATAATCCCAGGCAGCACAGTCAGGAAATATGATCAATTTTAAATGGTCGTAACTATAATTAAAGACCAAGTTAATATCGGGTTATGGAATGATTAAATACAGCTTTAATGCTTTTCTTTAATAAATCCTTTTCCTTTTCAGTATAGAAATAAGAACCACCAGCATATTGTATGTATTATGTTGACCCCAGCCCCAATCAATAATATAATATAATATATATTATGTTGACCTGAGCCCCCCAAGCAATAATATAATATAATATATTATATATGGAACTCCATCCGTTGAGCAGCGGTGCATTAAATTGATATTTGTTTAATACTTTTTGCTGTGTGCATTGAGGCTTCTCCGCATTTTTACCCGGCGGGCCCCAGGTGCATCAATCTTGTTTTGTTCGGCATGTTTTCCTCGAATTGGAACGCTTTCTGTTTTCCCATTTTCCGCTGCATGTGTTTGCCTCGGCTTCCATGTGTGTGTGTGTGTGTGTATATTTGTTTGTTCATATGGGTGTGCGGCATGCAACCGATGTAAAGCTAACCAAGAATAATACCTCGTCTGTTCTCCGCATCTCTCTATATCTTTTTGGCATCTGCTGGCCGCATCGCATCCACATCCACGTATCCTTGGCAATCCTGCAGATGCGGCTTCATGTATGGCGAGCTGACAGACAAGGAGACGGTGGGACGGCTGGAGTACACGCTGGAGAACCAGCAGCAGGATCAGTTCGAGATTTTGCTCTACAAGAAGAACAGTGAGTATGCCCTTAGGTTGCCCTGACCCTTGACCCCTGACCCCGTCCCCCGTTGGCTAAATGGCCCGTGCCTAATGGTCGCAGGCCAGCTTAATTCGAGACCCAAATCAAAGTCATACCGCTTTGCCTTAAGTATGTTATGCCCTTTCATAAAGCTACAATTGTGGTAGGAAGGAGGGTATTTATAAACAGAACTTTAGGTTATAACATATTATTAGAATATATTTATTTAAATCTGTGTCATAAAGTAAGAGTATAAAGTATCTTACAGCTTAAGAAAACTGTTATGACTTTTTGAAAATTGCCTTATTTTTGATTAGTTAATTAATTGTAATTATTTCAAAAAGTAATGGAAACCCAAACATGAATTTGTAAACTGTAGACCTTTTATCCTCTTAATTACCATGACTTTTGCAATATTAATTCAATCAATTAATCAAAAATCCATCCCTTTAAACATCTTTATCTGAACCTAACCATAGAATAAAAACCTGTATCTTAATTTGTTGCTATAACAATGCTTTCGAGCTGTGAGAATCTTACCAATCGATATCCTTTCAGTGATAAACCACTTAAGGTATTACCAGTAATAGCTCTGTTGAATTGAAATTGTATTTGGAAATTATTACGCATTCAGGAACCCAAATTAATCTTTCAACCGGCACTGTAGGCTATTTGGCTTTATGCTCGAGCTGTGCCCATTGTAGATTGTTCATTTTGTGAATTCCTGACTACGAACCTTTCATAATTCATTCCCCCCCCCCCACACCCCTTTGTTCCCCTTGAATTCTATTTGCGAGTGTGCAGAACGCAACCCCTACCATTTTCCATTTTCCCTTTGGCCCGCTCCACCACCTGGCACCCCGTAATGCCAACAAATTGGGGCTGCGATGGCAGCCCGCCGGCACTTTTGAGTGAGACCCATCAATCAAGCTGCCAGTTGCCCGCCCAGACACCTGTAGTAATGCCATATCCATCCAATCCCGGCCAAATCAAGTGGAATCGAATTGCCCCCAGCTTCTCAGCTTACCAATGTCCCAGCTACCCAAACGTCCCAACTTTCCCAGCTCCCCAGCGAGTATGGCCAGATCTTCGGGTGTCGAGCTCACGAATTAACGCCTTCGAGTATCAATTTTCAGATTTGCAGTGTGGCTGCGCCCTCTCGCAGTTTGGCAAGGCACAATCTCAAGGTATTTTGAAAAACAAGGGGGGGGGGGTCTGTTTCCCTCGTTTCGGGGCGTTTTTCCGCGTTTCTCCCAGTCAATTTTCCTAGTGGAAATACCATGGTTTCCATCTCGCCCCATGTCTTGGCAGTCTGCCCGCAGCAATATAAAACCCACATCCTGTTGCATGTGAGGTCAGAAATCGAGAAAGGGCAGGGGGGGTGATGCATTAAATAAGCATAAATCAATTGAAATATGAGAGAGTGCAGCAGCTGGCGCAGTTCGATCCAATTGAGATTGAAATTGCAATTGGCCGGCAAAATATTTGCTTCAATTCGAAATCGAATTGGGGCCAAGGAAAAAGAAACAATAGCTGAATCTGTGGCATCTGACAGGTGTCCCCCGGGCGATTGGATATAGCCATATAGCCACAGAGGCTCTCACACACACGGGCCAGAGCCAATTAATCTAGTCAGTTCGCATCAATTCCGGCATTGGAATTCAAATAGAAATAGGTACAGAGATCGAAACAACGACCGCACATAAACATTCACCGGAAACGGAAGTAGCAAATTGTGCTTGCAATTAGTACATAATTATGCCATCGAATGCAAACACACTTACACAGAAACCAACACACAATCGGAACGGAAGAGGGAAGAAGTCCTTGCCCCGTGGAAATTTAACTGCGATTACGGGAATTACGGTCGTTAGCAGTACGTGAGCAAAATAAAAGAGTCCCAGGCAATTAAAACTAACTTACTAGCCAAAGTTACACACGATAAATGTTTATATTTATATAACTGGACCAGAGAGTATGTAAGAAAAAGTCATAAAAATAATAAGAGATAAAATCAAAATTATTTTTCATTAAATGTTAATTAAAGTTAAAACCCTTTTGATGTCTTATAAGGCACTTTGCTTAACTCTCCCATCCAAAAATATGCTTATAAAACACTTTAATAACCAATACTGCATTACTTATTTAAAGAGTGACTTTAATGCGTCAATTTACATTGGAAAACCCATTGATTGCTTTGACAATCGGTGTGCACACTGAATTATTCAACCGAACAGACAAAGAGTAAACAGTTTCAGCTGTTGCACACATTTGGAACGCACTGTATGCCGCACTATTTACATGCCGACCATTGTCAGGATGCAGATAGAGCATTGAGCATTCAGAATCCAGCATCCATTATCCAGCATTCCATATCAATAATTGCAATCCAATGAAATGTCTCTCTGCCCCCGCTGTTTCCGTCTCTGTCTGGTCGTGACTCGAATGCGAATGGGAATACGAATGGGATTATCTATCCATATAACTGAACTGAACTGAACCGAACTGAACTGGCGTTTGTGCCCCCTGTTCCACCCCCATCACCGGTTCATCGGGCCGCACTTACCTATAATTGTTATTAATTCCGCCCGCCATCCCGCAGAAACCCCGCTATGGCTGCTGCTACAGGTCGCCCCCATCCGCAACGAACGCGACCTGGTGGTGCTCTTCCTGCTGACCTTCCGGGACATCACGGCCCTCAAGCAGCCCATCGACAGCGAGGACACCAAGGGAGGTAAGTGACCGCTCCGCTGTTTTTTTACTAACTACCCATGGTTCACGGTTGCCGGCTGAGAATTAACTTTTTTTGGTAGGGAATATTTTATATAATATTATATTAATAATATTCTTAATTTAATTTGATTTCCCATAAGCTTTTCAAATAAGTTTTTTAAATATACGTATTCATTATCCTTATTACAAGTTATCATTGCATGTCCTGTAATGAGGAATGCCACACAAATCACTAGGGTGTCTAAAAGTATGCAGTAAACAATGGACAGTCGTCTATCTAAGCTTAAATTATTGTATACTTTTTTACACGTAAAACTAAATTAAATATTTTAGTTTTTTAAATGATTTCAAAACTCACAAATCACTTAGGTGTCTAAAAGTATGCAGTAAATAAAAGATAGTGGTCTTCTTGAGCTTGAAATATATTATTGCATACTTTTTTACAGCTAACATTAAATTTAAAAGTGATTTTAGACCCCTATTTGTGTGGCAACCCAGCATGTTTAATATATAGTCCTAATTATTTAAAATAAATATAAAACAAACACAATGTTACTATAATATAAAGGTTTATTCCTAGCCTTGTACTTGTTTTGTAATAAATAAATGATAACTTTCATTTAAAACAATTTTACTTACAAAATCGGGGAAGACCATTCAATATGTAATTTATACAAAATAATAATAGTAAAACATAAAATAATTTTTTTATGATTTAAAATCAGTTGTGGCAACCGTGTTCCATGCGCACTTTTTGCACCTCTATATGTCTTCGTCTCTTTCCACCTTACTACTTTTCTATTCTGCTCTCTCTTTCCATGTCTACACACACAATCACACTCGCACCCACAATCACACCCACCTGTAAATACGCTTGAACAAATTGAAAACCAACAAAACGAAACCCCAAACAAACAAAACAAACCCAATTCGATGTGCCAACACTATGTATATGTACTCAATATAAAATACCACTCATATCTGTGACTCCTTTGTGTTTATTATCCAATTCTATGCTCGATGTATACTGTATACTGTTTCGATGCACTGTTCGATCGGTGTTTGTGTGCGTGTTCCCACCTCGTAGCGGTTAATCTATTCTTGCCAGTTTTAGGTCTCTCGAAGTTCGCCAAGTTGGCAAGATCGGTGACCCGGAGTCGCCAGTTCAGCGCCCATCTGCCCACGCTGAAGGATCCCACGAAGCAGTCCAACCTGGCGCATGTGAGTCCGGAGTATCGTATATCTTAAGATTGTATTATATCACCCATAACTATTTGTTCAGATGATGTCGCTGAGCGCGGATATTATGCCACAGTACCGACAGGAAGCCCCCAAAACGCCGCCACACATACTCCTGCATTATTGTGCATTTAAAGCAATTTGGGACTGGGTGATATTGTGTTTAACATTTTATACAGCCATCATGGTGAGTGATTTTGAAGTGCCGTGGAATACTTTTAGCCAGGGCTGCCCCAGAAACCACTACAATTTGAAAATCACTTATAAAAGTGTTTAAAAGTATGCAACAAATTATTTGGAGTTCGTAAATATAATAGACTCACGTCGTTCTTGTTTTCACTGCATACTTTTCGGCAGATTTTCAATTATTAAGTATCATTTACATTCAGAATATCTGATTTTATACCCATAGCTACCTGCCACTTCATATGATTTATGGTTGGCTATACATACTCTCAGCCCTTTTTATAATTTTGATGCTGTTCATTATCCTAGGGGCTTATATCCTAGGGGTTCGTAATTTATATTCATGTTACTGTTCTATATTAATGTAACATTTTGACGTATTTCCATTGATAAGACTATTCATACTGCCACAGATATAGGTCTTGCTTTTGTTTGCTGCATACTTTTTGGCAGTTTTTCAATGATTCATTTTAGGAGAATCGTACAAAGAATAGCAAAATCATGTTTTAAAAACTATTTAAGTATCTTTTACAGTCAGAATATATGATTTCATATGATTTCTGGTTGGCTTTACATACTCTCGGCCCTTTTTATAATTTTGATGCTGTTCACTTCATATCCTAGGGGCTTGTAATTTATATTCATGTTAGTGTTCTATATTAATGTAACATTTTGACGTATTTCCATTGATAAGCCTATTCATACTGCCACAGATATTTTATTTCACCAGCAAACATGCTGTCTAACAAGGACTGTGAAATGTATTATGATTTCCTATGGTTTTCGGGAACAGGTGTAGGTTTGGGTAAGGGTTTTCCAGGAATGGGATTATCAAGGGGGGACTGCTGTACCACCTGACACACCCACATCCACATTCAGATTGCCACAAAGCCGCTTGCGATGCCTTTTCATAAGCCGATGTCGTCTGTCTGCTCGAATTGTGTCTATTTCCGTCAACAAGATGTTAACATTTTCGCTTAAATTGCGCTCAGCATAAGTTGGCATCCGCACACGTGTGGGTGGTTATGGGTTCCGAATCGGGGGTTTCGTACCCTTCTCCTATCCAAAATACTCGTACTACGCATCCAACAGAAAGCTGCAATTCCTTGTTAGATTCTTGTTTCGGCTTCCATGTTGCACACTTTTCGTTTACTTATTGTTTAATGACATTTTGCGGTATTAGTTGTTTGTCCCTGGGTGGTTCTATATATTTTTGTTTCCCTGTTTGTTGTTGCTCGGGATTGTGGCTGTCGCAACTTTTAGATAAATGTATAGCCAGCGACAAATCAAAACTTTGTCTGTGACTGCGCCAGATACAAATTGCACACAAAAAAGCCGAGAAGTTAAGTGATATTTTAACCAGGTGGGCAAAGGGTTTTTGAGTAAAGTTGAAGCCAAAGGAGGGACAAAATCTTTTTTCAATCACTGTAAGTGACTGTAAGTGCCTTTTGCAAACTCAACCAAAGTTTAAAATGTAATTATTACAGAATAGCTTTTATGCGAAAAGAAACACTTTGAATTGAAAGTGCTTTTAAATTAATGAAAGTAAATAGTAATTTAGATTTGCTATTATTTGTAATAAACCTTTCAAGTTAATTTTCTTTTTGCAGAACTTTAAAACCATTTAAATTTTAAATTACAAAGATATATTGCGGAGGTTTAAAACCTAATTTTAATTAAAATCAGGTTTAATACCTAATTTTAGTTAGCAGCAGGCTTTAAACCTAATTTTAGTTAACAACAGGCCCAAACCTCAATTTTAATTTTAGTTGACAGCTGTTTTAAAAAACCTAATTTAAGTTAACAGCTGGTTTAAAACCTACTTTAAGTTAAACATACGAACGAGGAAACGAAATTAAACTGAGATCTATTTTAATAATGGTAATAATAAGAGGGAAATAGAAAATTTAATGTACAAAATATTAGAAAATACTTATGTTAATAACTAAAAATGATTTACCTTTCACATAGTTGAACCACAGGTGTGTGTATATTGTACATGGCCTCTAATTGGGCAAATACCCTCGAATCGGATCGAATTGGAAAGGGCTCGAGCTCAAGTGAAGAGTTCAGATAACGACCCTCTGTCAGACATTAATGTTGGTTCCCAGCCAGACAAAGCCTGCGCGGAGGACGAGATGCTGGGACAGGGGGACAGACAAGTGCACACATTTACATGACCAAGTGGCTGCTCAGACGGCGAGTCCTTCCACCTCATCATCATCATCATCCTTATTCTCCTCCTGCCGCCTCAAAGAGGGCGGCTTATGTTTTATGTGCTTAAATTAATATGCTCGGCGGTGGCGGAGGACAAGGATGAGGTGAGGGGGCCAGGGAGACAGGGCTTGACAGGACATAAGCAGCGGCATTCGTGGCTTGTAATCCAACCTCCGACCAGGCCAAGACGAGCCACGTTAAGAGGCTTGTAACTGCCACTTTGGGCAACAGTTAAGACAACAGCAAAAATGGGGTGGCGGCAATACCAACTGTTGCTCAGGTGGAAATGGAAATGGGAGCCACACCTGTAACTCATGGACTGACAGATCATTCGTTTCCCATATCTCCAGGCAGCTATTTTTCATTTCCCTGGTGCCTTGCTTTTTTCAAGCCAAGAAAAAAGCATGTTGAGTATGCCTTTTAGTATTTTATCTTTTCCCAATAATTTAAAAATGTTTAATGTTACAGGACTTTAATGTATAATGATTTTATTATTTCAAATAGTTTAGGAATTGGAATATTAAAAAATGTATGCTTTTTAATCTATATTTAAGGAACTTTAGCTTGTATTACAGGCCGTATGAGTAATATCATTAAATCGTATGTATGGGTGGTTTATAAATCATACGTCCCGTTACCATGACTTCTATAGCTATAGGAATTATTGCTACTAAGATAATACAATCGATTAACTTAAACTCATACCATTTTCTTTTCAGGTGCCATACAATGTAGCGTTTAAAAATAAAACCTCAGAGGATGTTTCCCTGCTCGTGGTCGATTCAATAGTCGATGTAATATTCTTTATAGATATTGGTAGGTATACGTCGCATACACCCTCCCATCTTTTATTAATCCATGTTATTTGGAATAGTTTTAAACTTCCATACAACGTTCGTGGGTCCTGGCGGCGAGGTGGTCAGCGACCCGAAAGTGATCCGGATGAACTACCTGAAGTCGTGGTTCATCATCGACCTGCTGAGCTGCCTGCCGTACGACGTGTTCAACGCGTTCGATCGGGATGAGGACGGTATCGGTTCCCTGTTCAGTGCCCTCAAGGTCGTCCGCCTGCTGCGGCTGGGGAGGGTGGTGCGGAAGCTGGACCGCTACCTGGAGTACGGGGCGGCCATGCTGATCCTGCTGCTCTGCTTCTACATGCTGGTGGCACATTGGCTGGCCTGCATATGGTACTCAATCGGTCGCAGCGATGCGGATAATGGGGTAAGCCAGGGACTAGGAAACCTTGGGAAAAAGTGTTCAAAAAAGTGTGCATGTCAAAACGCGCACGGGCTTTATGACACTTTTCAAAATGCCATAACGCCCGCATACGGCCCAACATAATATGTACACTAATCCCTTGTGATCCCTTTCAGATCCAGTACAGCTGGCTGTGGAAGCTGGCAAATGTCACCCAATCGCCGTACTCGTATATATGGAGTAATGACACTGGGCCGGAATTGGTCAATGGGCCGTCACGGAAAAGTATGTACGTGACGGCCCTATACTTCACTATGACCTGCATGACCTCGGTAAGTGTGTGTGGGTGTGGGGGATCTTTTGTAATATTTTTCTCAAAACTAAATAACCCCTTGGTTCTTTCTATTCCAATCCCCCTTTTGATTGTTCTCTCTTTTACAGGTTGGCTTTGGCAATGTCGCCGCGGAGACAGACAACGAGAAGGTGTTCACCATCTGCATGATGATCATTGCAGGTGCTGTTCTTTAACACGTTCCGTTGCCGCGTCCAAGTTTCTTGATATTCCCGCACACGCGTCACGCTTTTGAATTCCGGTTCCGATCTCTCGATGTCGATTTCGATTTCGATTCCGATACCATTTGAAAGCTAGGCCATCCGCTTGCGCCGCTAGAACTAATAAATCGCTCCAGTTATTTGGTGTAGAGCCTCATTACGATCCGTAGCCCATGTCCATTTGTCCATGTCCAAGTAGAGCAACTCACTCGCATTCTCACAACGTCAATCATTGATTGATCGCAGCCAGAATCAAGTGTTAAAAGTCTTTCTCCACCCTTCTTCTGCTCCGTCGTCATCTAGTTGCACAATTCGTGGCCATGTGTGAGTTGCATTGTGTATTCCTCTCTACTCGTTGTCCGTAACTCGTTACTCGTTATTCGTAAATCGGTAATCGTAACGCATGATCCGTAACTCGTAATACCAAACTCGTTACTCATTAGTAGTAACTCTTTGTTGATAACTGGTTGAAAATAACTCGTTTTTCGCAGTTCGTTACTTTTTATATGTATCTCGTTATTTGTAACGCGTACGTATTCTGCTGTACTGTACATTATGCCGAATCAATTCAGACAAGAGTGTCTCTCGGAAACCGCGCATGATCAGCACTCCAGCGAAGGCGGAAAAACTAGTACCAAGGAAGAGCTGATCCTGCGCAGCTTCTCGTTAATGTCACTCGCCATCACGTTCCACCAAACCACCTTCCACAAAAATCCATCTCTCTGTCTCCGTCTAACTGTACTCGTCCAATCTGTTGCATTTATTACTGTTCTAGCCGCGCACCTGTGCGTCTCTTCTTCCACATCGCGTAGAATCAGCGAATACTGATAACACACACCCAACAACTGTCTTTTTCACACACATCACAAGCACACATCACCTACATGCAGAGAAAAAATATCGAACAAGTTCTAAGTACTTTAGATTGTTGATCATTAACAGCAATGGATAGTTTAAATATTTTGATTTATTCTATTGTAATATTGATTTTATTTTATTTGGCTAATCAATATTGACAAACAAAATACTGAGATATGGTAATCTCTTCTCTGTGCACTCTCACACATCTCAAGTGTTATCTAGCTGATCGTGTAAAGTTTGCTTTGAATGGAACTCCCAAGACTACGAACTTCAACTCTGTGTGCACCGCCGTTGCTTAATATGTCCGTCTCATCACCTTTCTCTCTCTATCTGTCTATCTATGAACCCTCAACGATATAGCTCTGCTGTATGCCACGATCTTTGGCCACGTGACCACCATCATCCAGCAGATGACCTCGGCCACGGCCAAGTACCACGACATGCTGAACAACGTTCGCGAGTTCATGAAGTTGCACGAGGTGCCGAAGGCTCTCAGTGAGCGAGTAATGGACTATGTCGTCTCCACCTGGGCCATGACCAAGGGTCTGGACACCGAGAAGGTAAGTTCTTGATGCGACATTATTTCCCAAAGGATCTCCCGGGAGGCTAAATCGCCTTGAGCATTTTTCGTTGCCAAACCAGCTTCTCGCTTCCAGAATCATTCACTTTGGCATTGTTTCAGCTGGAATAAGGATACATTCAACCATTTATGTGTCTCATTTATTAACGCTTTTGTGTATCAAGTTAATGCGCTGGAACTGTGTTCCGTTTGTACATAGCGGGCTCTCTATAGAGCTTGGCGCACTTCAGCCTATCACTATCTCTAATGCACTCGGCATACGCACACGTACATCACATACATTTACTCGCTACTCTTTACTCACTACTAAATTTTCCATTGTCTATCAATCACTCTTCCAAGCTTATACACATCTGCCATTTTTCCTCCTAAACTGTGTTTCTTACGTGGTACTTTTATAGTATTCGACTTTGGCGCTACTCGTTGCTCATTCTTTGGTTTTGATTTCACTCGTCGGTTTTTCGTATACAAATATTTAAGTGTTCCGAAACATATTTTAGTTTTTCTGCATTCTTAAAAAGTGATAGTCTTATCTATTTCAACGAGTTTTCCATAGTTGTTTTTCGTCATTTAAAATTGTTTTCAATTCGACTTTTCCGTTACTGATAAGAGTAACTTTTTCCCATTTTTATATTCATTATTCATGAATCAATGACTTTCGTCATTTATCACTAGTAGTACAGCTTGACACACACAGTTACACCAAAGCAACTACAGACACCACTCTACTCGTTAACTCCTTACTCTCTACCTCACACTACACCTGTACTATCTCTCTCTCCTAAACTCTCCGACAACGAATCTTCAGTCGCTGCTCTTGCGCTTTGTTTTCCTATTATTTTGAAGCTGCTACTCGCATTTCCCTAAGCCTAAGATCAAAACCCCCCTCCAAGAAAAGTCAAAACCCACCCACAGATCAAGGTCCAGGTGACGGGTCCGAGGTAAGCTGTGGGTGGCTGAGAAACTGAAACCAAAAAACTTAAAAAAATGCGGAATCACCTTAAAAGCTCTATTCATCTAACGAAACCATCTTTAACAGAACTCAGCTAATCGATGATCTATCTCTCCATTCTCTCCATGTGTCTGCCCGCGAGCGAGATCCGTGCCAAAACGAAAAGCGTCCGTCAAATTCATGCCTTTAGATGAACCTGAACCAAACGGCGCAACGTCCCCTAGAATCCCAGACACCTCTCAGCCCGATCCAAAAAAATACCCAACTCTGGGGTCGTTTGCGCCTAAAAGATTTGATAATATATACACACCCTAGTTTGGTTCACAGACAGAAACAGAGTTTACAACCGGTCTAAGCCGACTAAACTGACCTTTATAACTATTTCGTTGACTGTAGTTTGTGCCGCAATTAAGAGACCCCGCATCCCCGTCCTTGAAACTCCAAAAATTGTGGTGTTACTTCCCTGAAAATCGGAAATAGCACTCGATAACACTCAAACAACCACACACACACAAAAACAGTCACAGGAACACACACTTTCACTGGAAAACAGACAACACACACACACTGACACTCGATCAATGTTGTATGTGTATTAGTGTATGTGTGCGTGTGTGTGCGTGTCCCGTTAGCCACTAGAGCTGAAGAATTCCGCCCAGAGGATCATAGATTCTGGGTGGAAAACCTCCGTGGTGGTCCGCAATTTTCAAGTTCCCATAGATATAGAGGTTTATCGATAAGCCGATAAACACGTCACCCAACCTCGATCGCAATCGCTTCGATTCGATTAGCCTCGAATCGAAGCCTATCGAAACGCCACTCGCAACTCGTTAACAATTCGCAGGTACTAAACTATTGTCCGAAAGATATGAAGGCTGACATATGTGTTCATCTAAATCGCAAAGTATTTAACGAGCATCCTGCATTTCGTCTGGCCTCGGATGGTTGTCTCCGGGCACTGGCGATGCACTTCATGATGTCGCACTCGGCGCCGGGGGATCTGCTCTATCACACCGGTGAGAGCATCGATAGCCTCTGCTTCATCGTCACCGGCAGCCTGGAGGTGATACAGGACGACGAGGTTGTGGCAATATTGGGTGAGTTACCCGGATTACCGACACGGTTCGATTCCCCTACTTCCCCCAGCAAAAGCCGCAGAACTATCAGCTTCGATTATTTCGATAACGTACGCCAGCACAATCGGTAATATCCCGTAAAACCTCAGCTTCAAATAACTTAAATACGCTTCATGCCATCCCTTCAAATACATAATCAGCTTCCATTGTTCCTTTTAGAGGTAAAGAAAGTAAAACGATAACAATGACATCGATTTTTTCGATAACCAATAGTAACATTTGACATGCAACATCATGTTTTAATAGAGTTCATCATAGTCAAGTAAATATTGTATTTTTTTAATAACAAACTAACGTGATCATTGCCCATTGTCCATTTAAAAATCGTAAGTATTTTAATTGACAACAACCATTTGAGATGGAAATCATTATGTACTTATATCTTAAGCTTTCTTTATGATGAAGTCTCCATCCACAGAAACGAAATTATAAAACATTTTTAAAAAAAGAGAGCCTGATAAGAAACAAAATTATGTAGATAATAAAGTGTAGCTTAAACCAAATCTAGATCTCAAGGTTTGCAATAAAATTATATTTTCACTATCGGCTTTAAGAATAGTTTGACAAGAGAACATCGATATTGGCACTAGCTCTGCGGCTCCTTATCGAGCCAAACCACTCCACACTGAGAACACTATCTTTGCAGGCAAGGGCGACGTCTTCGGCGATCAATTCTGGAAGGACTCGGCCGTTGGCCAGAGCGCGGCCAATGTGCGCGCTCTGACCTATTGTGATTTGCATGCCATCAAACGTGATAAATTGCTCGAAGTCCTCGATTTCTATTCGGCATTTGCGAATAGTTTTGCACGCAATCTGGTGCTCACCTACAATCTCAGACATCGACTGATTTTTCGCAAGGTGGCCGATGTGAAGCGCGAAAAAGAATTGGCCGAACGGCGTAAGAACGAGCCGCAATTGCCCCAGAATCAGGACCATCTCGTCCGAAAGATCTTCTCCAAGTTCCGTCGAACTCCGCAGGTCCAGGCGGGCAGTAAGGAGATCGTCGGCGGATCCGGCCAAAGTGATGTCGAGAAGGGTGACGGCGAGGTGGAGCGAACTAAGGTGAGTCCATGGGATTGGAATGTCCCCATGTGGTATCTCTCTCTCGCTCTCTCTCTCTGTCTCTGTCTCTCTGTTGTTGTGCATTCTGCTTTCCGTGTTATATGTTCCGTTTTCAGTGTTTCGTTGTTGTTACTTATCGTTCCATTACCATGTTTCGTTGTTGTGTTATTGGGTAGTTCTATGTGCGTTTGATCTTTGTTCTTTGGGATTGTGCGATATCAAGTGGTGTTCTAAGTTATGCATTGGTTGTATATTACAATTAAGTAATTGGGCCGATCCTTACATTAGATTGATTTTAAGAAAAAACGTTTTAAAGAGAGCCAACTTATCGCACAACCGCAGAAGGTATCTACCATATATCATCTTTCGTTGCTGTTTAAATTATATGTTCCTTTTCCGTTGGCTCAAATTCACCACGGTGCGAACCCGTTCCGTTGCCATTCGTTTCCGCCGCATTTTTCACCGTTAACCGAACTAACGTTTCTTTCGAAGCCTCAGCCTCACAATCCACCAATCACAGCTCCAGCCAGAGTCCAAGCCCCAAGGCGAACTGAAACACCCGGGCACTGAAACACGACCGGTGGGGCAACTGTTTGCCGTTTACCGTTAACTGTTAACCGTTTACAGTAGTTAATAACCGTTGTATTGCTTTACTAATGTTCTATACTTTCGAAGCGACAAACTGTATACAAAAGTGACTTATGCTCGTTGTATGTCTTTCTTTGTCTTTGTCTTTCTTTAACATGCTTACGCATAATGCATATAACTGTTCACCACTATCCACCTAAACCACCATCACCACTCATGTTCAACCACCACACCATCACGAAACCCACCACAACACAACTGTACTTAACGCTTTGTACATACTTTTCTGGCCTGGTCTTGATTCTTTTACTGTTTTGTTTTATGTTGTGAATTTGGCTAAACTACAATTGAAATTGAATTAAACAAAATTACTAACGGAAAATTCTGTATTATTTCCCCCACACCTGAATCGAAATTTCCCATTTCCTGCAACCCCTGCGCTTCTGAAAACCCCTACCCCCAAACCACCACATTTTCTCTTTCTTCTCTCTCCTCCAAACATTTTTGTGATCGCAAAACGCCTGATATGATATGATATTATATGATAATAATGCTTGCTCGGTAAACTGCTCGATAATGCCCCCATGCTAAAAACAATCGACTATCGACCATCAAAAACAAATCAATATGAAATGCAACAACATATACAAGAAGCTACCAGCCAAACTGACACTGACCGAGGACGCCCGCATCCTCAGCACCGCCGCGGCGCCCTCGCCCTCGCCATCCCCATCGCCCTCATCGGGTCCACCATCTGCGCGCAGTACACGGGCCAGCAAGTGGGGACGCCTCCTGGGCAGTTCAAGCGTCGATTCAGCTAGCGACACCAGCGCCAAGGTAGCCGTCTCGAGAAGTTTGAGCGCCCGCGAAAGCCTCCGAGAGAGCACCGCCCAAGCGCGGCAGAGTAGTACTTCGAGTAGCAATGGTGGACAAGGCAACAAAGTAATTATACGCTTTATCAATTGGATCTGGGATCTGTGGTCTGAGAATTGGGATCTGAGATCTATGATCGGGGATCCGCGATCAGCAAGACACCAAACACTCAGAAATACACAGGGTCACACGAAAAACTTCGAAATGAGGATTCTCCGAATCTTTGCAACTAAATTATACCTTAGTTCAATTCGTTATGATTTGAGACCCCCAATAGCTTGTTTTCACTGACACGCAATTCTGACTTTCAAAGCATGTACTTAACCTAGAAATGCTGATCTACCTACTACTACTACTACTTTTACTACCTTCTTTTATCAAACAAGCTTTTCAGTGGGCAGAAAAGCTATAAAGACGATGAAATGTACATCAGAGGAAACAAGCTATATAACACATACTACGTTTATACGTCTAGGTAAAAAAAAAATTTCTAAGCATTGTTTTTTTCAAAACACCTTATTAAAAAAAAGTTTAAATGTCTTCTAATGTCATTGAAATAATAATTAAAAACTTTAATGTTAAACATTTCTAAAATATATTGAAGCTAGAATCAAACATTTTGAAATCTTCATTTTTTGGCACCGATTTGAAGACCAAAGCAGGCTTATAAACGTAGTAGCAATCACGATACAATTATACCAAAACAGACATGTCTCGAATAATGCTAAAATGCATGTTTGTTGGGGTTTCCATCTTAATGATAACTCTGTCTCTCTTTTTTTTTTGCCTTTCGTTTGCTCTTCTCACTTCCGATTACGTGACCGATATTGCTATCGATTCCGAATGCGGTAACTCGATCATTTTGCGTTCATTTTACTCAATTATCATTTCGTACTTCTCCATTTTGAAATTGTGCAATCGAATTGAATAGCATTTACAATTAAGCAAAGTAAGTGTACGAACAATTAGTTTGTTTAACCGCTATTTTAGTTGGCTGTCCCACTCTGGCACACGATACACTGTTATCGGTTCGACAATCCGATAGGCAAATGGGCGGGCAGATATATTGGTAATCGTTAGAAATGTAGCAATGCTATCTTATCGATCTCTGCTTCACTGTGTGTAACTATGGTGTTTAAGCGCTTGAATGCTCCATATATGTAGATTAACCATAATCGTGCCCGCCCATGGCCGAAACTTGAACCCCTGCACCAAGTCCACCGCCCTTCAAGAAAAAAACACCCAGCAAACTGCCTTTAGATTGTTTATATCTTGCAATGATCCCGAACCAAATTGATATATTTCTTCGATTTTTTCCGTTTACCTGTTGACTTTTCTCTCTATCTCGCAACTAAAAACTCGAAATTGAAATGATAACATTGCCTGCCTTGCTACAACAACACAAAATTGATATCGAATTGGAAAAAAAAACAATCGAAACTTGAAAAATAATATATAAAATTGGACTAAAATTCAATGCACTGCACTCTGCCAATAATGCAATATGCAACCTGCAACAAACAACCAACCTGCAACTGCAACAACGAACGACATGAATGCCTCGACAATCAATCAATCAAAACAAAAAACCAACCAAATCAATCAACAATCAATAACCCGAAACCGAAAAAACCAACTCAAACACAATTTTTCTCACTTTTCTCCCCTGCCAACCGAACAAAAAAAAAAAACCATGCAACATGCAACAACCTGCCACCTGCCTGTCTATCCCGCATTTGCATCCGCATCTCCGCATCGCCCATTGTTCCATTAAACGTCACCTCCAGGTTTTTCCCAAGGCGCCCAAGCTGCAGGCGAGCCAGGCGACCCTGGCCCGCCAGGACACCATCGACGAGGGTGGCGAGGTGGACTCCTCGCCGCCGAGTCGCGACAGCCGCGTGGTCATCGAGGGAGCAGCCGGATCGGCGGGACCCTCAGCGCCGGTGGCCACCACTTCATCATCATCAGCAGCAGCAGCCGCGGCGGCGGCATCGGGAGCAGGATCTGCAGCAGGATCGGGAGCCGGGGCCACGGGCACTGCTGTCGTGGCCGTCGTGACCACCAAGGCGGATCGCAATCTGGCCCTGGAGCGGGAGCGCCAAATCGAGATGGCCAGCTCGAGGGCCACCACCTCGGACACCTACGACACCGGGCTGCGCGAGACGCCGCCCACGCTGGCGCAGCGCGATCTCATCGCCACCGTGCTGGACATGAAGGTGGACGTGCGGCTGGAGCTGCAGCGCATGCAGCAGCGCATCGGTCGCATCGAGGATCTGCTGGGTGAGCTGGTCAAGCGGCTGGCACCTGGTACTGGCAGCGGTACCGCTCCGGACAACAGCAGTGGCCAGACCACGCCCGGCGACGAGATCTGCGCGGGCTGCGGCGCGGGCGGTGGCGGCACGCCCACCACACAGGCGCCACCCACATCTGTGGTTACCAGCCCCGTGGACACTGTGATAACCATTTCATCGCCAGGAGGATCTGGAGCGGGAGCTGGCGCTGGTGGCGCTGGCCTGCTAAATCCGGGCGCCACAGCTGTGTCGAGCGCGGGAGGCAACGGCCTGGGGCCACTGATGCTCAAGAAGCGACGCTCGAAGAGCAGGAAAGCACCGGCGCCTCCTAAGCAGACACTCGCCTCGACGGCCGGCACCGCGACCGCAGCTCCCGCGGGCGTCGCCGGATCTGGCATGACGTCATCGGCGCCAGCGTCAGCGGATCAGCAGCAGCAGCAGCAGCCGGCGGACCAATCGCCCACGACGCCGGCAGCGGAACTACTGCATCTTCGCCTGCTCGAGGAGGACTTTACGGCGGCCCAAATGCCCACGACTTCGTCGGGTGGCGGAGGATCTGGGGCAGGTGCCACGCCCACAACGCCACCACCAGCACCCACGGCGGCGGGCAGCGGTAGCGGCAGCGGTACGCCTTCCACCACGCCCACAGGTAGCGGTACGCGGGGCAAGATGGAATTCCTGTAGCCCACAATGACGGATGTGGAGCGAGAGGAGGACTCCGGCCAGGAGCAATAATACAAAATCGGAAGAGTAGGGGCCCAGCCACGCCCACTCGCAAGCCTACGCCTACGCTTAGTTAGTCTACTATACTTAAGATACAGCTGTAACCTCAACTCAACACAAAAGCTAACTCATGTATCTCAAACTCTTGGAAGTCCACTACAACGTATCTAGCCGAAATTGATTGAAAAAAGATTTTAAAAGATTTCCTTTAATAAGTATTTCTAAAACCCAGTTTCAATAAGTACTTAAAGATTTTGAATCATTATAATAATTTATTATTATTTATTTATATGATCTATTAATATGACATTTTTGACTTTGGAACCATTTTCTTTAAATGCGTTATATAAATAGAAAAAATATTTAATTGCTTCTTGAAGAAGTAAAGTGGAAAAGTATGTAAACCTCTGAAATTTGAAAATCACAATTTATTCTAATACTTGAAATGTAACACAAATTTTAGGAAATTTTCGATAATACTCACTTTAAATTCCCAAGACAATTTCCCTTACAAATTTGTTGGAACAGATAGGTTGTAGTGGAGTTTTGGATGAAAAACTTTCTTTTTCGCTACACGAATCTCTACCTAATGCTATACCAATCTCTCACACACATACACAAACACACACACACTCTGAATGGAAGTGCTCGATACTCGATATTCGATACTCTTTAACCGTTACATGATTATGACTATGATTACGATAGTGTTAGCCATAATGATAACGATTAAGATTAAGGCAAGCATATTGCTTACGAATTTGCTACATTTACTGCAATTATTTACCTTTATATGTATACATATATATATATACAAAAGCGAATGTTGTAAAGGACACAGATACACCAACACTCACACCACACCACACACACACACTCTCACATATATATATATATATATAGCTGTATGTATATATGGATAATTTTGTGATAACTGCTAAAGGAGGCAAAAAACCAGACGAAGAAAAAGCTTACAGACCGAAACAATGCCCGTGAATTGTACATAGCCTAAAACTAAAACCTAACTTTAGAAAAAAGGATCCAACAGGGATGCCATGCCACATAGACACACTCAAAACCCAATATCCAATGTACATAGAAACGGATTCATGCATACATAACATATATGGATATAACCCGTCCTAACTAACTAACTTAACGAAACTCGGCTTGAGCACTCCGGCACTCGCACTCGCTTGGCTCCCAATATTCTAGGCTTATAGACTCGAATAACGTAAACGAAATGGCAAAGAAAAACTCAACTCAACCAACTAGTTAACTCAGCAACAGTAAAGCTTAAGTAAAACCGAAAAGATATAGACAGCAGAAATGTGGCCGCTAAACGAAACGACAATCGACAGACCTAAGAAACCAAAAAACTAAAACCAAGAAAAGTTAGAAAAAGAAATACAAAAAAAAAAGAAAAGAAATAGCAAATCTCTAGTTAAAAGCAAAGATCAACTATGATTTCTTTGGGCATTGTACATAAGTGAATTAAATTTTAGCAAAATATGTTATAACACGCTCACCAACAAACACCTACACACATTTTTTGTGATAAAAAAGAATTAGCTAAAGAAAGAAGAATTACAAAAGTTTAGACAAAAAGAATTAACCTAGATATTTGTTTATGCTGGCATTTGATAGGCTTGCACTTGGCATATAGTTTATAGCGGATGAGGATGGTGAGGATCATTAGGATGATGGTAGTAGGGAACCGTGCCGAATGCTCTTCGGATCGCGATATACAGTATCTTTAAGTAGGAGAAGGACGAACGGAATCCTGGACAGTTTAGAGGCAAGGTTTCATTACGTTTAAGTCGCCAGGGACATAGCATCAGTTGGAGTCCACTTGAATCTCGTTCGGTTACCGTTTTGATTCCCTAGTTGGTATTTGATAATTGCTATTTGATATTTGATACTTACTTATGATACCTAGCGTAGAGAGGCGGCAGAACCGGAGCCCGGCTACAAATACATACGAACTGTCTTCCCTGTATAGTTGGGGGAGTTAGGAGGGGTGGGTTTAGACGGGCCTCGCGGTTCTGTTCGCGCAAGTTACTTAGTTCTAGTTGTAGATTTTTTCGATTCCCATTCCCAAAAGGGCGACCAGCCCCCTCCCGTCAAACCAAAAAACCAAATCAAAACCAAAAAGCAATTCAAGTGGTATTAAAATTGAGTAACCAACACTCACTCACTCAGTCAGTCACACTCACCCCTTATACATATACGTATTTCCAATACTCAACAATGAATCAAAAGTTAATGGATAGCGAAGAAAAACAATTTGTTGCATACGTTTAGGCCTTAAGTTCTAGTTGAAAGTTTAACGATTGTAGCGGGCTCACTGTACATAGGTTTTTTTTAAATAACTATAAATCAAATATACCTAAACATAAATATATATATATAAATATAAATATATGTATAACTAATTAATAATAAATAATTAGGCAGCAACCAACTGAGTAAGGAAAGCTAAGACGCACTAGGCCGGAGAAGGGAAACGATAAGACGGAGATTTACCGATAGTCCTCATATGAAGATACGATAGCACTGATACGATAGCAGCTTAGTACTCGTATTGTTTCACCCTATCTCTCGCCACCTTTTCCCCCACTCTCTATCTCTGTCTCTCACTCTTTCTCTATCTCTCTCTCGCTTCCGCCCCCATCCCTGGTATTCATTTCGGGTTTTTTGGACCCTACTACACAGAGCCTTATAAATATAACCTAAAGTAACTAAACCAACTCAAGCAGCATTCAGCAAACTAGCAACTCAGACCTAATACAAAACCTAGCATTAGCATTAAAAGTGAACGAAAACGTGAAACTAAAAGTGGTGCAATTACAATTTTTAGATCAAGCTGAGCGAGCAATTTAGTCGAAATTTATATTGAACAATTTATTGGGGTAGGATGTGGATACATATATACATAGAAGGAGTTGCAAATCTCGTGTATATACACCCAGGCATAAATGACACACAACCGAAGAAGAAAACCCCAATCTCGAATCCCAGATAAGAAAAATAAAACTCATACTCATAATGTTCTGGCCTTCGATTTCGCCTAGAAAACGCCCGATTCAGTCTGATATTTATAAAGATCGCCAGATGGTAGGCTGCTGAAGGTCGGTTCGGGTCCGTCTGCTGGGACATTCGCTGAGAGGCGCCAAAGAAACTGATTAAACCATATTATTATTATAAATATGTACATGTATATATGTGTACCTCTAGTTACACCTAGATTGATAACGAGAACAACCTATCAAAATTAAGCTTTTATACGCCAGAATTTTTTTCTAAACAACTAAAAAACTAAAACGAAAGTAAACTAAAGAAACACTCAAGAATATACACAATTAATGCAAGCCAGAGAAAAGAGCAAAATTAACTCACAACACTCAATTAACGAATACCGTTTACAAAGCCCCAAGTGAAAACTAAATTAATTTAAATATACATTATACAATGATAGGAAAAAGCCTTAACCAGTAAAACACGCGCCTCATTTTCGTTTTTCCATTTATTACGTAAGTCCCACAGCAATGCTAAAAAGAAAAAAACAAAAAAAAATACTACGGCTAAACCAAACATACTAAAGATACTGAAAATACCAAACCAAAATATTTAGCATTATGCTCTAGACTCTAGACGAAAAAGAACCAAAATTTTACAACAACAAGATGAAACAAGAACAAACGCGATAAAGCAATGTTAAACATTTTCCACCAATTTGAGAAGCATAGTTGCTAAAATACAAAAAAATACCTAAACAAAAAAAACAGAAACTTATTTCGTACACGCGCCCTTTGTTTTTAAAAATCGAAAAGCTGCCTATTTATATATTTACAAACAAAATGAAACGAAATGAAAAGATAAGAAAGTGAATTACCAATTACATAACTACAAATTTAACAAACCACAAAAATACTACATTTTGCAATTGCAACATTCCAAGTAAAGAAAAAAATACCAAAAATAATACGAGCATGTAAAAATAGTTTGAAATCAATTGAGTTTTGGTTCAAAGGCGCCGAAAACTTAGAGACATCAAGCCACGGCTTTGCTGAGCAGATTTACAGTTATATACATACACCCACATATATACCGATATATGTATATATAGGTAGTTTATACCATTTAAAAGCTTGCTAGGACTCGTCCTTGGGCCACTGATTAAACACCAGGAGACGAGCCGCGAAATCGATAACAGAAATAGTTGTAACATTTATTTGAGAGTCGCTGGATTAATGCCTACAGTTAATGTGTATAGTTACTTGATTATTGCCGCATTCGACCCACACTCACACACACGAAAACCAGAATCGGAAAGGCTATACGCCCGAATTTCTGGGTTAGTAGGATCGATCGAAAATGGGAAGCCCAAAACTAAAAAAGCGGCGAGGCAAAGAAAAACTTTTCAGAACCGCAGAAAGCGCAGAACAGAAGCTAAATGAAAAGAAACAAAGAAAAGAGAAATACATACATAAATGTTTTTAAAAAATATCATCCAATCTTTTGAATTTCTTTTTGGGAGGAAATAGTGGGCCATTTAGAGTTCGGCTATGCGGGGTTTTCAAAACCCATTTTTTGTAGCATACTTTTTTTTTGGTCTAAGAATGAAAGGAAATCTAACTAAACAGGTGGTAAGTATGTTTGTCACTTAAGATCAGCTATGTAAATAAAAATCAGCTTTTTGAATCTGATGAGGATCAATATAATTATTGTAACGGATACTTTTCATTTGGGATTTATAGAATAGTAATATAATATAATAATAACTGAGTATAAAGGAATTTTAAAGTTTTGGTTGTGCACTAAAGGATTAAAAAAAATTATGATGTAACCCCTTAAAAAAAATGCAAAAATTAGTCAAAAAATAAATTTTCCCAAAATTGATGCAGATCGTTAGCATAGGAAGCAAGCTATTCAAAATAGTCGGTCCTATAGTTGTGCTCCTTGATTTGGCTGAGCTACGATCGAAAAACCACCAGAAAAGGCGTTTTCTTGACTAAAATCTGAAATCAAAAGAATCATGATGTAACCCCTTAAAAAAATGCCAAAATTAGTCAAAAAATTAATTTCCCCAAAATTGATGCAGGTCGTTAGCATAGGAAACTAGCTATCCAAAACAGCGGTCTTTTAGCTGTACGCCTTGATTTGGCTAAGCTACGACTGAAAAACCACTAAAAAATGAGTATTTTTGACCAAAATCTGAATTCCAAAAATAACCGATGTACCCCCTTATAAAAAATGAGAAATTGGGTCAAAAAATAAATGTTCCTTAAAGTGATGGGGTTCGATAGCATTTGTAGCAAGCTGCTCAAAACAGTCGGTCTTTTAGCTGTACGCCCTGATTTGGCTGAGCTACGACTGAAAAACCACTAAAAAATGAGTATTTTTGACCAAAATCTGAATTCCAAAAATAACCGATGTACCCCCTTATAAAAAATGAGAAATTGGGTCAAAAAATAAATGTTCCTTAAAGTGATGGGGTTCGATAGCATTTGTAGCAAGCTGCTCAAAACAGTCGGTCTTTTAGCTGTACGCCTTGATTTGGCTGAGCTACGAATGAAAAACCACTAAAAAATTAGTATTTTTGACCAAAATCTGAATTCCAAAAATAACCGATGTACCCCTTATAAAAAATGAGAAATTGGGTCAAAAAATAAATGTTCCTTAAAGTGATGGGGTTCGATAGCATTTGTAGCAAGCTGCTCAAAACAGTCGGTCTTTTAGCTGTACGCCTTGATTTGGCTAAGCTACGACTGAAAAACCACTAAAAAATGAGTATTTTTGACCAAAATCTGAATTCCAAAAATAACCGATGTACCCCCTTATAAAAACTGAGAAATTGGGTCAAAAAATAAATGTTCCTTAAAGTGATGGGGTTCGATAGCATTTGTAGCAAGCTGCTCAAAACAGTCGGTCTTTTAGCTGTACGCCCTGATTGGCTGAGCTACGACTGAAAAACCACTAAAAAATGAGTATTTTTGACCAAAATCTGAATTCCAAAAATAACCGATGTACCCCCTTATAAAAAATGAGAAATTGGGTCAAAAAATAAATGTTCCTTAAAGTGATGGGGTTCGATAGCATTTGTAGCAAGCTGCTCAAAACAGTCGGTCTTTTAGCTGTACGCCTTGATTTGGCTGAGCTACGATCGAAAAACCACCAGAAAAGGCGTTTTCTTGACTAAAATCTGAAATCAAAAGAATCATGATGTAACCCCTTATAAAAAATGAGAAATTGGGTCAAAAAATAAATGTTCCTTAAAGTGATGGGGTTCGATAGCATTTGTAGCAAGCTGCTCAAACAGTCGGTCTTTTAGCTGTACGCCTTGATTTGGCTGAGATACGACTGAAAAACCACTAAAAAATGAGTATTTTTGACCAAAATCTGAATTCCAAAAATAACCGATGTACCCCCTTATAAAAAATGAGAAATTGGGTCAAAAAATAAATGTTCCTTAAAGTGATGGGGTTCGATAGCATTTGTAGCAAGCTGCTCAAAACAGTCGGTCTTTTAGCTGTACGCCTTGATTTGGCTGAGCTACGAATGAAAAACCACTAAAAATGAGTATTTTTGACCAAAATCTGAATTCCAAAAATAACCGATGTACCCCCTTATAAAAAATGAGAAATTGGGTCAAAAAATAAATGTTCCTTAAAGTGATGGGGTTCGATAGCATTTGTAGCAAGCTGCTCAAAACAGTCGGTCTTTTAGCTGTACGCCTTGATTTGGCTGAGCTACGAATGAAAAACCACTAAAAAATGAGTATTTTTGACCAAAATCTGAATTCCAAAAATAACCGATGTACCCCTTATAAAAAATGAGAAATTGGGTCAAAAAATAAATGTTTCTTAAAGTGATGGGGTTCGATAGCATTTGTAGCAAGCTGCTAAAAACAGTCGGTCTTTTAGCTGTACGCCTTGATTTGGCTGAGATACGACTGAAAAACCACTAAAAAATGAGTATTTTTGACCAAAATCTGAATTCCAAAAATAACCGATGTACCCCTTATAAAAAATGAGAAATTGGGTCAAAAAATAAATGTTCCTTAAAGTGGTGGGGTTCGATAGCATTTGTAGCAAGCTGCTCAAAACAGTCGGTCTTTTAGCTGTACGCCTTGATTTGGCTGAGCTACGAATGAAAAACCACTAAAAAATGAGTATTTTGACCAAAATCTGAATTCCAAAAATAACCGATGTACCCCCTTATAAAAAATGAGAAATTGGGTCAAAAAATAAATGTTCCTTAAAGTGATGGGGTTCGATAGCATTTGTAGCAAGCTGCTCAAAACAGTCGGTCTTTTAGCTGTACGCCTTGATTTGGCTGAGCTACGAATGAAAAACCACTAAAAAATGGGTATTTTTGACCAAAATCTGAATTCCAAAAATATCCGATGTACCCCCTTATAAAAAATGAGAAATTGGGTCAAAAATAAATGTTCCTTAAAGTGATGGGGTTCGATAGCATTTGTAGCAAGCTGCTCAAAACAGTCGGTCTTTTAGCTGTACGCCTTGATTTGGCTGAGCTACGAATGAAAAACCACTAAAAAATGAGTATTTTTGACCAAAATCTGAATTCCAAAAATAACCGATGTACCCCTTATAAAAAATGAGAAATTGGGTCAAAAAATAAATGTTCCTTAAAGTGATGGGGTTCGATAGCATTTGTAGCAAGCTGCTCAAAACAGTCGGTCTTTTAGCTGTACGCCTTTTTTGGCTGAGCTACGAATGAAAAACCACTAAAAAATGAGTATTTTTGACCAAAATCTGAATTCCAAAAATAACCGATGTACCCCCTTATAAAAAATGAGAAATTGGGTCAAAAAATAAATGTTCCTTAAAGTGATGGGGTTCGATAGCATTTGTAGCAAGCTGCTCAAAACAGTCGGTCTTTTAGCTGTACGCCTTGATTTGGCTAAGCTACGACTGAAAAACCACTAAAAAATGAGTATTTTTGACCAAAATCTGAATTCCAAAAATAACCGATGTACCCCCTTATAAAAATGAGAAATTGGGTCAAAAAATAAATGTTCCTTAAAGTGATGGGGTTCGATAGCATTTGTAGCAAGCTCTCAAAACAGTCGGTCTTTTAGCTGTACGCCTTGATTTGGCTGAGATACGACTGAAAAACCACTAAAAAATGAGTATTTTTGACCAAAATCTGAATTCCAAAAATAACCGATGTACCCCTTATAAAAATGAGAAATTGGGTCAAAAATAAATGTTCCTTAAAGTGATGGGGTTCGATAGCATTTGTAGCAAGCTGCTCAAAACAGTCGGTCTTTTAGCTGTACGCCTTGATTTGGCTGAGCTACGAATGAAAAACCACTAAAAAATGAGTATTTTTGACCAAAATCTGAATTCCAAAAATAACCGATGTACCCCCTTATAAAAAATGAGAAATTGGGTCAAAAAATAAATGTTCCTTAAAGTGATGGGGTTCGATAGCATTTGTAGCAAGCTGCTCAAAACAGTCGGTCTTTTAGCTGTACGCCTTGATTTGGCTGAGCTACGAATGAAAAACCACTAAAAAATGAGTATTTTTGACCAAAATCTGAATTCCAAAAATAACCGATGTACCCCTTATAAAAAATGAGAAATTGGGTCAAAAAATAAATGTTCTTAAAGTGATGGGGTTCGATAGCATTTGTAGCAAGCTGCTCAAAACAGTCGGTCTTTTAGCTGTACGCCTTGATTTGGCTGAGATACGACTGAAAAACCACTAAAAAATGAGTATTTTTGACCAAAATCTGAATTCCAAAAATAACCGA